AAATTTGCTTGGTTTGTCTCTGTTTGCAGTTTAAAAGTCCCAAAATTTATATTCCTTCAGCAGTTTTTTTCAACCACTATTCCTGAATTGGAGATATTAACTTTTGCAAAGCTTAAAAATAGCCTCCCCATCGACTTTTTATTTTTTGCTATATTTGCATTTTATTCTTTTTACTTTCTCTTCTAGTTCTTTCTTTTCTTCTTCCTCCTCCTTTTCCATCTAGTTTCCGTTCAATTTGTATCGATCAAAAAACTACGGCAATAAAAACAAAAAGACACTCCCAAATTACTTAAAAATTGTTCAAACAATATTTCTCATAGCCTCATTCTGTGTTCAGCATATTTAAAACGAAAGCCGAAAATTACAGCAATATGCTAAACAGAAGCATCTTGCACTGTTGTCAACTCTTCAACGGTTTTGCTAGCTTATTTATGTGTTTATAATTGAACTGTTTTTCCTTCTTCCAACATCCTATTATTTTTGCATGAAAAGAAAACCTTATGATATATTGCCAGTTAGAGCGCCATTAAACAAACATAACAACATCTCAAACTGACAACTGTAATCCAAATTCATCCTTCTTTACCAAAACAAGAAAACTGGTATTGGATAGTAACTGATAGTAGTAAACATTTACATACTTCTCAGTCTTAAGCTAATAACTTACGCAGAACACAGTAGCTTTAAAAAAGTAATTTTCCGCTTTTTAAATACATTCAGAAAACCTCTAACTGCAGAAGCAACGGAAAAAATAAGGAGCGAGCAGCGATTCTAGAAAGAAACACAACGGCAGCATTGAAAATGTTTCTTAAGAAAAAATATAGAAGTGACATGTAACAAACCTTTCTCAGGAATTTTGTGCATTTTTTTGAAGATTTCCCTATACCAAAGCGACGTATCGGTAAGCTCATGTTTTGCTGAAGACGAAGGTGATGCCGTTGAAAGATATTGTGCGGCAACGGTGGCAGCGGCAGCAGTTCGGCCGTTCAACGAGCACCAGTCCCTAGCCTCGGCTTGCGTTCCAGCTTTCTGGTCTGTTTGCATAAATGTCGGCAGTGAGGCGGGTCTACCACTACACCCTACATTTTGACTATTATGTAAACTAGGCTCAGCCTCCAATTTGTTCTCGGTTTTTTCTGTTAGATCCATCATAGCTGTTCTGAGATCTGTTCGATACATGTCACCAATCAAAGGATGTACTGCTGTATTCTCGTCATTAACACCCGTATTTCGTCCATTCTCTAAAATTCATGTGGATTAGCCATTAATTTATACAGTCTTTGCCTTTGACTCCCAATAGTGCATCTTCCTTATTATTATTTCAACACTCTGACACTGGTGATCAATAAGTATTTAAAATGAATCTAAACTATGTTAAATTAGCTGTTATAAAGAACTAAGTTGGTAGTAATTTTTTATGGTTTATTTTTTAAGCTATTTATATTCACTATAATATGTAAACTATTTAATACGTATAGCTAAATTGATGCAACACACTAAACATCAATTAATCTGTTTACTTTTCCTCTTCAAAAAAAGAGACATTTTGAACTTTTATAACAACTGGTTCCATTCAATATCTAATGCCAAGAATGCAAAATTGAAAAAACAATGGCAAGAAGAAAGTAAAGTTTTCGACATTTATTGTTCCACAAAATAGTTGCTTAAAATTCATTCAACCTACTAAACCATGTAACCACATTAAAAACAAAACCTTTTTGTGATTGAGACTCATTTGCTGTTGCAGATGTAACAGTTGCTTGTTCATTGTTTTCTTTCAAGGCCTTCGTATCTTCACGTTTTTGGTCCAGCGATGGGCTAACGGCATTGTTCGAAATGTTGAAGCGATAATCGTTACTGCATGACGGTTCATTTACTTGGCTATTTAAACCTTCGTTGACACCAGAAGGTTTAACCGCATCCGTCTTTACCACAAAATCGTCAGCCTCTTTAAATATAGGTCGTACTACTTCATGGGTACGACTAAGTGTAGCGTACATTGGGGTGACGTCATCACTGTTCAGCGTATTCCTAATCGTGAATTCGCTAGCAGCACGCTTGCTGCGGTCTGCAAATTTAGCTTCGGGAGATAGAAGAGTTTTCTCTGTAATGGTCGAGGTGTAGTTGGGTTGTGTAAAACTTGTGTTGTCATATTCCGTTGTGTTCAACGACGAGAAGCTTAACGTTGGTCTGCAGAAGGGTACAGGTGTAATACGTGAAACATGCCGTTTCATAGGTTCATGAACAATTTGGTGAAGACCATGTGGTGTGATGTTTACCAGTAATGGTTTTTCAGATCTGCCTTCTTCAGCCGGCTTTAGCTGTGGCATTTCTGCAACCGCATGTTCTGGTGACGTTGGCGCAGAATTTAACTTAGCGTCACCATTGCGTACCGCAGCTGGCGATAACGGATTGAAAGTGATCTTCGCTGCCGCTTCTATGCTTGTTGGAGATTTAACTTCCAATTTATTTGCTATCTGTTCTCTTAGACTAGCTACAGACTGCCGTTCTGGAATTTCGACCGATCCTGCAGCAGGCTCTACGTTTTGTGACCCTGTTTTGACTTGCCATTTCTGCTCGCTCATTGACGACTGCGTAGGAGTCGTGGTTGACTGAACAAGCTGAAAGCAGAAATAAAGTTATTGTTGTTGTTGGGAAACCAATGTTGACCAGCTACAGAACAACCAATTTCAAATGCAGAACAATTTAGTAAAAAAGTTCAAAAATTCCAAAATTATTGAAGCGTATGTTTACTTGAACACAGCAACGAAGACCGCAAAAAATGTCCAAAAAAAAAAAAAAAAAAAAAAAAAAAAAAAAAAAAAGCATAAGAAAATGCAGTATCGAATCCCTTCATGCACTATAGAATTGGAATCCTTCATAAAAAGGTATAAATCAAAAAAGTAATCCATCACATAATTTGTGCAAAATATACCAAACAGGTTAGTATTGGAGATCCTCTCAATGCTGCTGATCAACTGTCAGTTGTTTCAAAACGGCCCCTTAAATTGGTTTCAATTCTAAAAAAAAAAAAAGAATAATTTTTTTCTCATATCTTCATTTTGGGCACCTTGACGACCAATAATTTAAATTTTAACGCGGTGTAAGCAACTAAAAAGTAATGCAATTTTCAGAGAAACTAGAAACACCAAATCAAGTTAAAGGAGTTTTGTTCCCGACAAAGCTACAAAAACACGGTTTCATGCTGCAGTAATACTCGTTCTACTTCTGAATTTCAATTAACTCTTTAGTTTACAAACCAATCGAACAGCTTATGAAAGAAAGGACTGGTGAGGATGAAAAATGCGTAGCGATTCCGCCAATTATTGCTACTGTTAAAAACAGTTCTCTTCGCACAGGAAAGGGTCTACTTAAGCGGCATCGTCAAAGGAACAGTCATCCGAAGATTTCAAAGTTCCGGTTTTTTTAGTGCAAATCTATCTTGTAAAAACAGAGACAAAAAATGGGAATGACTAATGACTTGGAGCGCTGTTTAGACACTTTAATTAATTGAATAGTTTTGTTCAGAGTTACTTAGGAGGTACTGCAGATAGTTGCAATGTGTAAAAGTAAACATTATGTGCCATCTGAGATTACCATCAGGTGTGATCACTTATGACCAATTTCAACAACCTTGCTTTTCACTTCAAAATTTAAGCCACTAAAGCTGAACAATAAATGGTGGAAATTTACGTCTAGAAGATTATAAATACTGTGCGAACTTCATGCATTTCTTGATTATTCAGTGACCAAAACCAGCGAAGGAGCACTGAACAAGAAATTTTTTCTCAATAAGGGCTACAACTTCGCCACCAAGCAGTACTCTTCAAAAAGCTCAAATGCTATTCCAGAGCGGCACCTTCAAACTGGTCCTTTCTAAAGTATTGAAAATTTTATGCTATACTAGAAAAAGATGAATGGAAGGCAAAAATCGAATGTTAATCAGATTAGGGCTGTTCAAGTAAGAAAATGTCGCATCACCATCTCAGGAACCTCTACACCCATCTTTACTTTTAAAACTGACACTAGTTTTGGATAAATTTTCTTCTTTTCTCAGCAATCACATCTCATCTTTTAGAACATAAAATTAAACTTCAAAATTTGACTTTATACTTAGAAAAAAAAAAAAAAAAAAAAGAAAAAAACAAATAATCAAACTGATTGAAACCAGAGATATGCGACGGCACTGAAAAACAACATAGAGGTCGGTAAAAAAGAAAGATTGATGACTGCTAAAACTGCAAGTTTTGCTTTGAAGGTAAAAAAACAAAGCAAAACAATAAAATATAAACAAGAAAAAATTGAAAAAACTGAGAAGTAAAACTGATTAAAGAAGAATTGTTACAGACAAAGAAAATTTAACTTTCTTTTCTGCATTTACAATGAAACACAAAACTTCAAAAAACAAATCAATGAGTATAATTGATTTATACGTATAACTGCGGATCGCTATTCCAACAGCGGTTCTTCCTGACACTTATCAACTCAGTCTTTTAGCCTTTCAAATTGACTTCTGCAGACAGCAACATTACTAAATATTCGTTTCCTTTTTTGGGCAGCACCTATGCAACTCCTAAAGCGACTGATTTTGAAGGAAAACCACAAACCGTTTCGATACCACCACACTAAATTTCCCGATGAACGAGGTTTACATCCCCTTCAACAAACGAACACTCTACATATTTTTAGTTCCACTGCATACGCAAACAACCCATTCAACGAAACAATAAACAAATAGAACATAAAAGAAAATTCCGTTTCCTTTTTTGTTCACTAATGCAATAAAGATTTTAAAGTATCCCGTGGTCTTAGTTTTCCAGAATAGCCAGAAGTTACAAATAGGTTTGGCACAAAAAGGTTCGAAAGCAAATAGTCGAAGCGCAGAAGTAGATGAGGCACCAAACCGATTGAAAAATTGATCTAAAACTTGATAATGATTTAGTCATACGCCAAGTCCTAATCATAACACTTTCTTTCTCCAATAGCAAGATTGAAAGCAAGAAAGAAATGTATTACTTGTTACGAGACTGCATATTTCAGGCCAAAAGTAATGCAAAATGATTTTCCAAATAACTTAATAACCAAAATAAAGAGAAAATGCTTTATAGAAAGACCAGACAAAAATAAGACGATGTCCTGAAATAAATTGTTCCAAGTTTATTTAGTGCTTCTTTTTGAACAGCTACTGTTTGCTGCGTTCTTCAGATTTATTTTTAGTTTAGTTTTGAAAGAAAAAAACAAATTCTATTTTTTCTTCTTGATAATTAAAACTACAGCTAATATCCAAATGAAAGACTTTCAAAAAACTCTTGAAGGTACAGAAGAAAAATTTCTCATCCAGTCTTCTTCATCTTCAGACAGACAAGCTTTGACGCATCACAAATTCTTTTGGTCGGAATTCTTTAACTAGCACCAAAACAAATTGATATTTCAAACAATGAAAATATTTCTTAAAAGCTGAAACAATTGGTAACAAATATTGACTAAGACAGATCTAAAATCAAATACCCAGAGCTAATAAACTCGAATTTAAATTCAGAGGCAACAAAACTCACCAGCTTTAGCCTGTAAAATAAAGCAGAAAGAAGACACTTCCCGGTCGCGACCACGATCAGATTAATACAAACCGCTCCTGTGAGAAACAACAACAGCGGGAAAAAACTGATCTAATTTTAGAAATCTATCCAACTCCCTAATTTTTGCCAGTTTTCAAGCAGCAAAACTGAATAGACCGGAACATTTGTTTAAAAACAACAGCCAAAGTTTATAAATCAGATTCCGAAAAGATTCGCATGTCTAATAGATACTTCAAAATACAAACTCAAGCCTTCAGTTCACCTAACCTTCGCCAGTAATTAGGCCAATGACTCATCCCAGAAAAAAGTCCCTTTTTGCCAGCTTTCTACTCACTCTTCAGACTGCAACACTTACTTAGTTGCGCCTCTTTTTCGCCACTTCAAAATGATCAATAAAATAGAGAAAAAATTAAAAAAAAAAAATCAAAACGATTAAAATCAAACAGTAGAACTGTTGTTTTGTTTCTAAATGATCAGCTCTTTTTTGTACCCCCTCATCTATTCGAGTCTATGCCTGTTTGAAATAAAATAAAATACAGAAAATGAATTCTCAATTTTTTTCGGAAAGAACAAGCGAAAAGAAAAAAGAAAAGAAAAACAACGTGAATCATAGAAATTCATCACCCTTATGATAACTGAATTGAATTTATCATTAAGAAACCATAAACAGAATGAGGTGTATCAAAAAAAATTTTTTTAGCCTTTAACAATGCATTTTCGAAGAGACTAAGAACGAAGATTCGAGTTTCAGTAATAGCGAATAGCAGAAACGAGCTATAAAAAAGCACGAAAGTTTGCTCGTTAAAAAACCGCAGACAAACTGAAAAGAACTTTCTCCTCTTTTTTATTTTTTTATTTTTTATTTTTTGGTAGAGAGAAGACATGAAGTGAAAGAAGGTAACAGAGAAGTGGAAAAACAGCAGCGGATGAGAAGTTTTTGAGCTTCGTTTACTTCATGAGTTTCCACACTCTATCAACTCAAAAAAAAGGCGGAAATAAGGCTCCAGATTGATCTCCTAAGCATCGAACACCACTTAAATAGACCATCAACCATCATAGCTTGTCCTCTTCTTCATTTGAAACCAATTTCTGATTCCTGTGCAATTAAAAACTAGAAGAAACAAAAGGAAAACAAAAAGAACTGGCTTTGCCGTTGAATAAAGAACCATGACTGCTTACAAAAAAATACTGTTAGCGTTTTTTTCGCCTATATTAATCAGTTTCATCTATTGATAACTAAGCCTATTCTCAGCAAAACAACTATGCCAAAATGTTCACAGATCGTTTCTGAGAATCCGCATAAAACTGTTCCATCTTCTCGTTACTTAACTGTAGACCTTTTTTCTGATATCAGCTTACTCTTCTGTAGTCCCTTTTCAGGTCTCAACTGATACGAAAAATAGCTAAACAGTATTTTCAAGAAGAACAACCTATTCTGTTCAACTTTCTTCACGTAAGGAAAGAAATCAAAACTACAAAAAGCTCTGGCTGGCCTAAGAAATTGCACAATTAGGCGAACGGCAGACCCAAAAATGGCTAAACGAATGGCTTCATTCATCTACTCATCTGCGGCTTCTCCCTGCATCTTCCCCACCCTTTTTGTCGTTCCCCCATCATTTACTGTACTTATCTCCCCCTTGTTGCGCCTCCGCACTTTTTTTACTGCACAAATCATTCGACTTTAAAATGCCGACAATAAATAATAGCTTCACAACAGCAAAAAAAAGTCATAAAAAATTTATGAATCCTTAACAGTCCGGTAAACTTACGCATAAAAGGTGTTGAAGTGATGGAACAATAATGTTTTTTACTAAAATTGTTAAAATGCTCATTAAAGCATAAACAAAAAAAAAAAAAAAAAAA